TTTCTCTACAGAGACCTGTGTAGTGTTGGTAAGCACTGTGTTTTCTTTTCTCAGTCTGTTTTGATGCCAAGCCCTTTGCCAGAGCTGAGATATGAGGACTGACAAAGAAATATTGATGTCTCTTCAAACCTTTTTTTATGTTTTGTTTGCATCTCTTTACCCTAAAGTCTGAACCAATGTTAGAGGGAAAACAAAAGTTTACTGCCTTGTTGTCTGACTTCAGTAGTTTGGGAAGTTTTGTGCTATGTTTGCACTTAGTCTGTTTTTAGTGCATTTAATGCAGTCATGATTCAGGGGTCAATGACATTATTTCAAATCAGACGCTTCAGCAAACACTAAAGAAATAAAGTGAAATGCAATTATAGAACATCTAATGAGTTGTGCAATTCTTGTGTTCCACACAGGCCAGAAGAATGTGCAGTCTGTCTCAAAGTCTTCAGGAGCTGCTGGGGGATGCAGATGGAAAGGTGGTCATCATGAGTCTCAGTGTGTTCATACTGTGCTCCAGCATAGAGACATCCTGGTATCCAGCACCACTGCCCCGGAACTGACTGAGGCACTCCTGCTGCTCTTTGACCACATAAGCTTCTGCATCCTGAGCCACAGGCATCGGCTGCTTCCCAGAAACTTTGTGCCCTGTGGATTTTCAGGCCTTTCCCCGGGTGGGCCTGGAGTAGCTGGTCTAGGTCTTTTCCTTTCCTCTAGGACAACAGCCATGTGCAGTTGCTCTGCATTCAGTTCTTCTGTAAGGTAATGGAATTGGTAGTGGATGAGGGAAAAAAGCCTCTGAAGACAATTGTGAACAAGAGCCTGTACACGCTTTTAATCTACTGTCATGATGAGAACTGGCACGTGGCAAAGGTGAGCATTTGTATGATGCTGGGAGGGAGCTGGGCTGCCTCCTGCCCTGGCGCCTGGCGGGCTGCAGCCTCCTCCAGGCCCTGGCACAGGGACACAGCTCCTGTACCCAGGGCTCTGGGGCCATCTCTGGGTCTCTGCTGCTCTCCAGGCTTCTCGGGAAACGCTGCTTGGTGCGGCTGAGTTTCTGAAGAGGAGGCATCTCAAACAGCTGCTGAAGGAGGAGCAGCTGTCACAGTTTGCCGAGTGCCTGGTAAGGATGGCCAGGAAGCCGCAGCCTCCATCTCTGTGGAGCTGAAGCGGCGCAAATCCCAGACCCTGGGACACGCAGCCCCCTGCTGCTGTTCTCTTCCACGCCGTGTTCTGTGCACACACACAGAGGAACAAGGGCAGATCAGGCTGGAAAGGTACCTGTGCTGAAGGTGCAGTTCCACAACGTTGTGGAGTTCTGGATCTTGCTAAGCACACTGAAGGCCAGCAGTGGGACAAGGAGCCTGTGTGCCAGGGACCCAAGTCGTGTCGAAGGCCCTGCCATAGTTGGTCTGCTGTTGTGCACATCAACAAGATAATGAAGAACAGACAATGAAGGAAACCTTATTGTGTAATTGATGGGAATTTGATCCTTAAAAGAAACAATGGATTGGCCAATTCATGGGAAGTTAACCTGGGAAAGAGGAAAAATACACAATGGATCTGTGTTATGGAAGTGGTTATGTATTATGGAACCACTAGCCATTGCAACTTACCTCATATGCTGGCTAAGCATGAGATGATGATGTAACTGGAAAACTTCCAGTCCAGGTGAGGAGATATGAGGCCTGTGTCTGGGGTGGAGTGGCAAGAAGGACAAAATTAATTCCCTTTTGATACAGGGGACACCCTGAAGGTGCACAGCCTATCTGCCCCCACAACTAGAGCACCATGCTCCATCTCCTGCTCCCATTCAGCAGCTTTTCACCAATCCAGGGGTTGGTATGTATTATTTACATAAGCAACTAACCAAGCAAAACTTACTTTGCAATCACAGGTGTGTTTCAGATTTTTTGTTCATGAGCATCCTCCAGAACTTAACAGGGGGTTTTGGGTGTGCCTAAGAGCAAATGAAGCAGCAGCGTGGAGCCTGAGACTGGGACGCGCGACCCTACCAGTGCCCGGAGCGCTGTCAGGCAGTGCCGGGATCCCGGCTGTGGTTCTGGTCCCCACAAGTGAGGAATGGCCGCCCCAGGCTCGGAGCCAGTCAGAAAGTCAACCAAGTGAGAGCAGAGGGAGGGCACCTT